GCGGGCGAGCGATGTGCTGGCTGCGGCTTCTCGCCGCCCCCATCGGTCCAGGACGGCGAACCGCGGCCAGTGGGGGCCGCGATCAGCCGAACCTGCCGCGTCAGCAGGTAAATAAACTGGCCCGGCCTGCCAGGGTGTCCCTGGCGAGCCGCGTGCCGAACATTGCTGACCCCTGTAATAGAGGCTTCCCTCCTCTAGGGTGAAAAAAAAAGTTCAGTCTTCATAGTGCATTCACTTGTTGCCTCTTTGCTGAGATTGCCAGTTACTGTGATAATTACTGGGTCTGCGCGAGAGGTGGCTGCAGGGACCTACAGCTGCTGAGAAGGGTGAGTCAGGTGTCGCATGCCTAGGGCAACCAGATGTCCCTATTTTATAGGGACAATCCCGATATTTGGGGCTTTTTCTTATATAGGCGCCTATTCCCCCTCCCCCCCACCCCCATTTTTCACACTTGCTGTCTGGTCACCCTACTCATGCCCCCTGTGCAGGGTGGGTAGGGCAGGGTAGAATTGAAGGCTCCTTGCGCTTCCTTCACCTCCCCCCCCACCCCACAAGATCAAGGCACAATCTGGCACTAAGAAAGGGAACATTTGTACAATATGCTCTCAAGATAACTACCGTTGGCCCTATAGCTTGGGAGTCTTAAAATGAGATTAGGAAATGTACTCTCGGGCACAATCCTGCATAGGACCCTGGAAAATGGATTAGATTACCTGAGACTGCTTTAATTGCTATGATTCTATCATTAAAATATGAAAATGGGCAGACCGCAAAGCTTCATGCATACTCATTTTCAAACGAAAATGTCACCAATGGCATTTTCATTTTCTACCTACATACCTCCCTGTATTTTGTCTCCCTAGTGACACATGGGTAACCACCATATAAGGAGAAGCAAACAAGAAAGCAGCCTTAATCAGGAGGTATTTTTAAATTACCGGTTTAATGAGGGTGTCGCTGACTTTGCGAGGTAATCCTGCAATGTACACCTTAGTTTCCAGGAAGCCATTTGATGGTTTGAACAGATTTCTAGGGCTGTTGATATTCATCACTGCTTCTTTTGCTATTTTTACACTTATACTGTGTTCTAATTCTTCCACTGAGACCTAGGATTAAAAATAATATACAATATATATATAGCACTATATATGTTGAACATACTGATTACAGAGGGAGGAGTAGTGAGCCTTGTGTTAAGGTTACCTAACATGTCCCAGTATTTAAAAAACAAAAGCCCACCACCCAGAAACCTGCCTTTCTCTTTTTTTAAATATATATATATTCTAATGGTTTGCAGCAGGATTTTGAAATTGGGCAGAGGGATAATACTTGAAAGGCAAAGGTATCTCTCGCTTTGTATAGGAAAAGCTATACTTGGCTGAATGATAAGTTTTTGGAAAAATACAATTTTTCAGTTTGTGTTACTTTCTTGCTTCTAAAATTGCTCAACATTCCATCCACATTGAGCATGCGCCTCTGGATCTCACTCAGCCTGCCACAAAGAACTGAACCTCCTGAGGGAACACAGAACAAAAAAAAAAGGAATTCATCTGCTGCTGTTGATGTTACCCACCAAAATACTTTTTGGTCTAAGGGAAGGTACACTGGACTGGAGACCAGGAACCAATATGGCAGAACTAAATCTAATCTACACAGCAGCTGACAGGGTGCTTCCCAGCGTGGGTAGACCATATTTCAGCTCTATTCAAGCTAGCATACTAAAAATAGTAGTGTGGCTGTAGTGGCACAAGCTGCTAGCTGCCCGAGTACAATCCTGCCCAACTTGGTGCTTTAAAAGGGCCAATTTCACGAAGGTGAAAACAATCATGAGCCAAATAAGCTGGGAGGAAGAATTTAATCAGAAAATGTGAATGGCTAATTGGGGCTTGTTTAACCAGACTTTACTAGATGCCCAAAAAGCCATAATCAAGGGAGAAGGCCTTGATATACCAACCTGGCTTAGAAGGACCTGAAGGCAACTATAAAAAGAACTTTAAAAATAATATGTAACAAATGGAAGAAAGGAGAAGTTGATAGTACTGAATATAAATCAAAGTTAGGAATGGTAGAAAATGGATAGGGAAAGCAGAGTTCAGGACACTAAGGAGGCATTAAGTATAATAGGATAAAAAAGAATCCTGACAATGGTATTGGATCATTACTAGATGTAAATGGTAGAATTACCCATAACAATGCAGAAAGGGTGGAAGTATTCAATAAATATCTTGGTTCTGTATTTGGAATAAACATAATGTAATCTTATCATGTGATGATGATAACACTTTTTTCTATTCCACTAGTATGTCAGGAGGATGTTAAACCCCAGCTGCTAAAGTTAGACATTTTTAAAATCAGCAGGTCAGTATAACTTGCACCCGAGAGTTTTAAAGGAATTGGCTGTGGCCCATTAATGTTGATTTTCAGTAAGGCTTAGAATACCAGGGAAGGTCCAGAAGACTGGAAGAAAGCTAATGGTTGTGCCAATTTTTAAAAAGGGTATTTGTGATGACCCAGGTTTTTATAGGCCTGTCAATCTGACATTGTTCCCGGGCAAGATAATGCAGTGGCTAATATGGATCTCAATAAAGAACTAAAGGAGGGTAATGTAATAATGCAAATCAACGTAAGTTATTGAAAATAGATCTTGTCAAACTAACTTTATCTCTTTTATTAGATTACAAGTTTGGTTGATAAAGGTAATAGTGTTAACATAATATACTTACACTTCTATAAGATGTTTGATGTTGTATCACACAACATTTTCATTAAAAAACTAGAACAATATAAAATTAACATGGGATATATTAAATTGATTAAAAACTGGCTAACTGATAGATCTCAAAATGCAACTCTAAATGGGGAATCATCACTGAATAGGTGTGTTTCTGGTGGGGTCCTGAAGGGATCTGTTCTTGGCCCTACACTATTTAACATCAAATGACCTGGAAGAAAACATAAAAATGTCATTGATAAGGTTTGCAAATGACAAAAAAATTGGAGGAGTGGTAAATAATGAAGACAGGTCACCAACACAGGGAAATCTGGATTGCTTGGTTCACTGGGTACAAGCAAATAATGTGTATTTTAATGTGGCCAAATACAGATATATACATCTAGGAACAAAGACTGTAGGCCATATTTACAGGATGTGGGAGACTCTATCTGAAAATGATTTGGGAGTGTGGTGGATAATAGGCTGAACAGGAACTTTTACTGCAACCAACAGGGCTAATGTGATCCTTGCATGCATAAACGGGAATCGCAAGCAGAAATACAGAGGTTATTTTACCTCTGTATTTGGTACTGGTGCAACCAGTGCTAGACTACTGTGTCCAGTTCTGTTGTCCACAATTGAGGAAGGATGTTGAAAAGTTGGAGAGGGTTCAGACAAGAGCCAGGAGAATGATGAAAGGATTAGAAAACATGCCTTATAGCAATAGACCCAAAGAGCTCAATCTATTTAGCTTAACAAAGAGAAGGTTAAGAGGTGACCTGATTAGTCTGTAAGCACCTATGTGGGGAACAAATATTTAACAATGGGCTCTTCAATCTAGCAGAGAAAAGCTAGACAAATTCAGACTGGAAATAAGGCATACATTTTGTACAGTGAAAGTAATTAAGTATTGGAACAATTTACCAAGGGATGTGGTGGATTCTCCAATACTGACAAGTTTTAAATCAAGATCGGAAGTTTTTCAAAATATCTGATCTAGGAATTATTGCGGTGAAGTTCAACAACTTATATTATTGAGCAGGTCAGATTAGATGATCACAGTGGTCCCTTTCTGGCCTTGGAATCTATGAATTCCCTGGGTCTGTTCTCAGGGAGCTACCCCGACCCATGGCGCTGCAGCCTTGTTGCTATTTTTAGTGAGCTAGCTCAACTACAGCTAGTGTGTAACTGGGAAGCACTCTCCCCACTATTGTGTAGACACACCCCAGCCACACTCTTTCTTAGAATCTGCCAAATCTATACACTTAGTGATGCGGTCAATAAACTGGGCTATTCTTGGATCTGTAACCCACCATCTCCATGTGTTGTGCCTCTTCCTCTATGGTTACAGAGGATAACTGCATGTTCTTGTGGCTAGCATAGTTTAGCACTTGAGTGGTAGAGACAGTGCTGAAAGTACTCTGTTCAAAAGTACTGCTGATGCATCGGGGACCATTGCACATAAAATTATTGGGTTTGATTTTTTTCTTTCTAAAAAACACACTGCATATTATCTACAAAAACAACATTAAAAGAAGGCTGCAAAGTCAAGCATGCAAAAATGAGGAAATGCCAGAATTAAGGTTGCCCATTTAAGCTTAATTCTGACATTTCCTAAATTCTAAGTAGCTGACTTTGCAATCTCATCAGTATTCTTTTTCTGTACGTAGTAGGTATGTTGAACAGACCCTGTTCCCAGTAAAGTTCATGTTAAGACTCCTACTGACTTGAGTTAGAGTAGCTCTGGGCACACCGCGCTCAGCAATTGGGGGTTTAAAAAAAAAAGAAAAAGAAAGAAAGATTTTCTTTAGTTAGCCTTGATTTGACTGATCAAACTGCATTGGCCGGCATAAAATAACAAGTGTGTTTGGAATAACAACCCCATGGACCACTTGCATCAGAATAAACATGTTTACACACACACAATCATGCACTAAGGGCTAGTCCACACTAACCCCCCACTTCGAACTAAGATATGCAACTTCAGCTACGTGAATAACGTAGCTGAAGTCGAAGTATCTTAGTTCAAACTTACCGCGAGTCCAGATGCGGCAGGCAGGCTCCCCCGTCGACTCCGCGTACTCCTCTCGCGGAGCAGGAGTACCGGTGTCAACGGCGAGCACTTCCAGGATCGATTTATCATGTCTAGACAAGATGCGATAAATCGATCCCAGAAGATCGATTGCTTACCGCCGGACCCGGAGGTAAGTATAGACGTACCCTAAGTATTACTGCATAGGCCCCAAGCACCATGCAGAAAGTGGCTCTTTGTATCACAAGGAAATTTGGAAGTTTGTTAATGCTACCACTGTACCTTTCTTAACAGCCTTTAAATCTGGGATCTTTATGGAATCATTCTGGAACTTTTTTTTTTTTAAGTTGCTATAACAATTTTTCCCAACTTCACCTAAGAGTGCCAACAATACACAGGGTATTAGAAAAAAAACTTACTATATGCCACAGACCATCATTAATGGCTTTGCCACCACTGGTGACTTTTGTTCCAAGTTCATTCTTGAATTGAATCTCAATCTTCCCATCACGAAGACCAAGCAAGAACCATGCTGTGCTGTTAGAGGATTCAGCATATAGTATAAGACCCTCTGTATCATATGTCCGGAAATCAAATTCTGCTGAAAATCTGAGTCATGGGAGAGGGATCATAATCATGAGAAGAGGATACATGAGACAGTGAAGAGCTCAGTGCAATACATTAATAATTTAGCTATGCAGGCAAATATTAATCTCCAAATGACAACTCTGTATCCGAGCTGGTCCAATGGATGCCTATGATTAATCATAAGCGGAATCCAGTAGCTATAGAATTCCCCTTATTTTACAGGTGTGTTGTAAGAAAAAGTAAATTGTTTGGGAGGTGTTTCCATACTATGGTGAGGAATGCCATAAAAAAAATCTATCACAAGTATCTTCTATAAATGTGCTTCATCATTACTGACTTTGAAAGTTCCACTGTTTACCCTTATTCTGTTTAGGGAATAAGATCTGTATATTGGTGGCATTTGGATGATCATGCATAAATTGTAGCTCTTTTTGTTCTGTGTTTGTACAGTGTCTAGTACAATGGGGTCCTGGTTCATAACTAGGGCTTCTAGGCACTACAGTAATATAAATAATAAATAGTGGTGGTATTATTATTTATTATTATTATGGTAGAACCTATAGACCCTGTTGTGCTCTGGGGGCTGTACAAACGTGGGAGAAGCTCTCTGCCCCAAAGAACTTTCAGGCTAAACATACAAGACAGAGGAATGACTTGAGGGGAAAATGGAGGCACAGAGAGGTGAAGTGACTTGTGAAAGGCACACAGCAGGTGGGTGGCAGAACTAGGAACAGAACACAGGTGCCCTGATTCCAAGTTCAGCTCTCCAGTCACTAAACCACATTGACTTTCAAACATGGTTCTATCAAAACTCCTTATTTTGAGCTTGTAAGTAACTATTTAAGATGTTAGCTGCTAAGGACACTTTCAAACTTTTCAAAAATCTTCCAGGAGAGCATTAATTCCAGGTCACCTTTGATTCATGGCACAAGGGCATGTCTTAATATTTATGCTTTAAATCTAAATCTGAGGCACTAAAAAATCACAAATGCAACAACTTCTGCTGTTGGTGCCTCTGAAATTGTCCAGACAGTGAATCAAAGGCAATCCTGCATTTTCAAGTGCCACAATGAGCACACTGAAGTGCAATATAGAGCTTACTAACATTAGCAATCGCTCTAGGACAATGACATCTGAAGGGGAAATCCTACAAATTGATATTGGAATAAAACAAGACACTATGCTCCATCAGTGGCCTGGAATATTGTAGGAGAAAGCACAGGAGACCATTAGCTTCCTCAGTACTTGATGAACAGCATGCTACAGCTGGTAACTCCTGCAAAAGAGCAGCAGAACCATTACCTGAGGCTCACCATTTTGATATACAACTGCACATTGTGAGATGCATATTCATTTCTATAACATCATCTGATTTTAAGGACTGAAAAAGGAATGGCAACACTTTGGGGGAAAAAAAACCTATATGAAATTTGCCTACTGTGAAATACCATAGACAATGTTTGGATCAAAATGTCCCTGCAAACATACCACCAGTGGGGATTCTTCAGAGCAGGTTTTGAGTCAGTTTGCAAGACTGGCCCCTGGGGAACTGCAATATCCTTCTGCATCTCTGCTATCATCTTCCATGTCTTTGCTCTTCCCTTCAGAGGGGCAGCAAGCTTCTGTGAGACACCAACTTTCTTGCTCTCCTAAGAAATCTCACTCACTCCAAAAACTGCTGGGGCCTCCATCCAGTTCATATTCCTTCCTCTCCCCTTTGATCCATTTTCCACCTTTTCACACTCAGTCTCAGGATTGTTTTGATCCTCTTTCTCCCAAGGTTTATTTTTGCTTCTCTTTCAGTCCTTATATCTCTGTCTTCAACTGCAGCAACCACCTGGCTGTCACTGTAGGAGCAATCTGGCTCTTCACCCACTGATGAGCTCAGGCCCAGATGCTGGTGCATTCTCCCACAGACCACGCCAATAGGTTGCCTGCTCCACTATGTAGCTGCATCAGTTAGCTGCTACTGCCCCCTGTCCGATGGAAAGGGTTGCTTAAGATCCAGCTGAGCAGATGAGTTACTGGAAAGAACTCTACTAAAGGTGTGGCTCAAGGATAAAATATGATCACTAAAGTGTCTCTAAGCACCTCACTTCTGTCCATCCACTTTCAAATAACTTCAGCCTCCACTGAGTGCTATTACATGTAGGAACCTAAGTTCATTTGTCCTCCCCACAATGATACAAGGTGTCTTATCCAGTGAGATGATGCTGTGAATTCCTCATGCAATCCACAGTCCTTTTGCCACCCTCTGAGAATTAATGGAAACAAATCCCCAGAACTTCCATGCATAGTGTTATCAATGGCAAATGCTCACCTGGTGACTTCTGGCAATTTAAACCTTAAGTACAGCACAGGGATTGCTATAAACTGTTCTGCCAGGTAAAGCAATTCATCATACTTTTCAAGATTCAGAGGGACACAAACTGGAACAGTCTGTAAATAATGAAGGGAAAAATCACCATGTCATAACTTTGTGTTGTGATATTTCACAGATTAACCTCAGTTCTTTGTGGCTTTTAGCTTGTTACATTTTCCTGAAGCACTTGATACCTAGTATACTTGAATAATCTGAATACCTCAGTACAAATAAAATTTTATTTTTCTACATTATCCATATCTCAAAAATATTGGTGACTATAAATGTCGTAACATAGTTTCGTAGATTCCAACTTTCATTTGAGTTGGTAATTACATGGTAAGTATTTAATATTCAAATCAAGGCATACAGCCAAATTAGACCATTTCCTTTCAACCTGCATCCCTACCACCTTACGTTAGGATTCTCAGGTCTCTCAATTTAAGCAGTTTGGTTGGGTTGATAGTTGGATGGGTGAAATCTAAAACATCTAGGGTGATACACAAAGTGGTCTTGATTTGAATAAGCACCACACTTTCCTTTTGAGGCAGAACTGAACTAATATACAGCATAGTGGCAGGGGAAGTACTATATCTCTTGATGTGGTATCTCCTCTGAACACATGAAAAGTTTAGGTACTGGCCACTAGTCACAACTAGTGATCCCAGGTAAGACTGTGAGGTTAATCCCGGTGTCCAGGCCAAAATCAAATTTGGGTAATTACATTCTGCTTATTTAAACTTTTCAGCTTTCCTAGCCTACATTGTTCCACAGTATTTTTGTGTATGAAGTTTTATACTTTCTGTATTGCAGTGATAGACAGAGTGATCCTTGTATATAGGGATAATATATCAGTTTAAATTAGGGTGACCAGATGTCCCAATATTCAGGGCTTTGTCTTATATATTACCTCCCACCCCATCCCAATTTTTCACACTTGCTATCTGGTCACTCTAGTTCAATTAGGTCAGATATTGTATGACTATATTGCTATTTCAGCTAACCTAATGTGCACTGCTGTTTTTATGTCTCTTGTCATGCCACAATGATGTCAGTTGGAACTTATTTTATTTGTCTTTATTATTAAAAAGACAGTTGGAACTT